GCAGAATTAATGATACAGAAACAAAACTGCAGAACATTCCATCTGACTAATTGTCTGTAGATGGACGCGTGACGACTTTAGAAATTACCTTTTTCTCTCATCTCTCGAGCAATCTCTCTTGCAATTGCTCCCTTATAGAACAACTCTACAGGATCATCGGCTTCTGCCAATCGTTCAAGTGTTTCAGCATACTTTATACGATACATAATCTCACCTTCTTTGTAAAGATTTCCAGTTGAAGGATTTATAAACTCTCTAAAACTCATTGTTGAGCTTTCCTAAAAGAACCAGAAAAAACAGTACAGTGATAATACTTTGAATCGTGCAGTAAAACTCTTTTTTGCTTTTCTCAACAGATTTTACTTGATAACCGTAATAATTAAATGGCTACAAAAAGAAAACTTGCCTCATTGAAATTTCAGCCATAATTTTAATTCTATCTTTTTTTAGAACATCGGCCAGTTGCTTGGAAATGGGAAATCCGGTTTTACACAACATAATCGTTGGACTTATGAGGTCATACCAAGAAACTCGTTTACTTCCATAACTAAAGACTGCTATTTAAAACTCGGCAAAAAATATCGCAACTAGGCTTTGTTAAATTTTGCTTCTAGCTTTACAGTTTAACTTAAAAAAGATCAGCAAGACTGCTCGGTAAGAAAGTTTTTTAGACTCAGAGACTTTTCAAATGCTGTCCAAAGCCCATGAAGTTCACCTGGCGTTGCAATCGATTTGTACCCTAAAAAGATAATGTTCTTTCTTTAGTGCATTTTGTTAAAAGTATTTTATTTTTTGCAACAAATCAATTGCTAGGTACCAAAAAACTGCTAAAAAATTTTAACTGTTTAAACATATATTATTTTGTAAGAAGACGATGTTTCACAGTATGTTATTTAAAACGTATCATCTTTGAAGGAATAGTTCCTGTTCTCCGTCAACGTCGGTTGACTTTGCAACGGTGCTGTTTCTCTTGCGTCAATCACCACACACTCTTTGGTTTTACTATAAACGCTGAGCAGTTAGTTGTTAAAAAACATCTAATTAAACAGAGTTAAGATAAAATACTCCGTTTAACCTATTATAAATGGTCATAAAATGACCACCACCAATACCGCTACTTTGTGGACTGGTTGCACCAATGCAAAACAGCGTTGCAATTGCACTGTCTACAGCATTTCCTCCTAACGTCAGAATTTTTCTGTAATTACGGTATTAGTAGGAAAAAAAGCAAAAAAAAAAAAAAAAAATTAGAGAAATATTATTTAATTTGTTCACTAACATTGAAAATAACAATTCATTTTTATATACCTTCCAATTTCATTACATAAAGCGCCATTAGATACCACTGCAACCTTTTTGAATTTAGCAATATCCAAGCGTTGATAATTTGAAACTTTATAATAATCTTTAGGTCTGTTTGCTGTATTTACTACATTTTTTGGAGTTGTTGTAGTCAGTATTAGCTAAAAATCTTTTTTCATAAACATGAAACAAAAAGAACAAAAAGCAGGGTAAATTAAAATAACTAGTTATTGTTCTTCTTCAAATTCTAAAGCACTGCATAAAATTGCTCTATTTATCGTTACAAAATATGTTCTGCAAATATAATTTCAAATTATTAAATAAAATAAAAATGCAACACTGTGAGCAACAAAAATTCACCAAAGAATTTTGACACCTTAGCTCGGCAGACTTTTGAACAATTTCTGTAAAAATTGTCTAAAATAAATCTTTTTATGAAAATTTTTTTGGATACCTTTGAATGCCCGGCAGTGATTAGATATGCAAAAAATGCAACTATGCCAGAAACTATCAAAACTGCTTCTAGTATAACGATAAGCCATGGAAGGTCTCCGCTGTAAAAAAAAAAAATATCCATAAATTTCTTGCTCTTTAACGTCAACGTTTAAAAGCAGAAAATCAAAAAAAAGATAGAAAGAAAGATGATGATAAATTGGTTCAAAAACTTTGACAGAAAGCCAACAAATCAAAAATGGAAAACAAGGAGGCTTTCAACAATAAAATTGTTATAAATCTTAATTAACTCCTCAAACAGCTCATGCTGTTTCCAAACTAATGTGTTAGACTGGCTAATACGTAGACTTTACTCGTTTCTACATTCAAGACGTATTTTAAACAAAAGTTAAATATTTTAAAACACAAGGGATTTAGGCTCAAGCACTTTCAGTATATCTGCTTATAGCGTTCCAGAATAAAGAAAGTATCTAAACGAGTTATTCTGAGTTATCTATCAGTTCAGTTATAAAAAGGTTCCGAGAGGAACGCGTAAAGATTCATTAATAAGATGTAAACACTCAATTTACTTATTGACTTACGTAAAACTTTTTTTTTCTAACTAACTTGTTCGTGAAACATATATTTTGTTTCCAGTCAGAAAATGGAGCAGTAGTTTTGAAGATACTGAGCAACTACAATTTAACATTAAAATTAATACAACAAAACAGTTTTCTCACATAATACTCCTAAAAATGCTTGAACACTATTTATTGTTCAAAATTTGCGAAATAGCTAGATCACCTAAGCATAAACATACAAGAATTTTAAGTTTGGAAGAATCAACTTCGGAAAAACAAAAACTTCTTTAAGTTTTCCCGAACCGTCAATGACCGCAGCAGTTCCAGAACCATTTACTTTGATGATACGTGGGGGCATTGCCCCGAGTTGAACTTTATGAGCGGTACCGATAAGCGGCAACCGCAGATACCGGACACCTAAAATGCAGCTATGTAAAGAATTTTTCTACGCACAAGTTGGTTAAAAGTAACAATATAACACTCAGCCAAATTCTGTAAAAAATTATAGATTTTTAATAGTTTCTGCAACAACCCTAAAATTCACTGAAAATGATTTGTAAAACTAAAAAGTAAACAGTCTTTAAAAAAAGTTAGGGTGTAGTTGCCAGCCAATGTACCTACGACGCAGAGTAATCAAATAGCTATTGACGATCATCATATACTGCTCGTTATTAAAATCATTTACGGTATCGTCTTTTGGAGACAGGCACTGAAGAGTTCTCTTGAAAGTGCTCTCAACCACAATTCACTTTTTTAGAACAGCTTTCTTCTGCCAAATTGGCAATTCAACAATCACACAAAGAAGTTTCCTCTTCTGGCTTTCTGATGAAAATGATGCTCGTCAGAAAGTTACTCCGTTTAAATTGTTTAATGGACAATTTTTTTCTTAAAATAATTGTTTTTCAAACTCATGACAAAGTTTTGGAAATGTTTCTTTATGCTTACTTTTTCATCTGCAATAAAACCATCTGAGAACAGCAGAAGTCAATAAACGATAACTTCTCAGACTATGTATGTTGAATTTTCTAACAAAGTTTCTCAAGAATCCTTTGTGAATATGTCATTCACATTTGACTGCTTCAAATAATGTGCATCAGCAAAAAGCAAATTTTTTTGCTCATGATAATATAATCATTCAAATTAAGCGCCGGCTGCTAACAAATGCACAAGAGGCCCTCTGATATTAACAAATCGTAATAATGCAGCGATATTTCAGCCAAATGGTTTTACTTAGGTGCCTATCCGCAAATCACAAGAGGTCTGCGTTCTGATAGTTTATTCAGTAGCTACAAGTTTTTTTTGCCCACGATAAGCCAAGAATGCCCCAATAAGTTACCAAATTAAAAAATTAATACTAATCTCCCGTCGGGGATGATGCTTATCCTCTCTCTACAAAAAGAAAGGCGAAGCATAGAACTCGAGAGGTTTCAATGAGATGAAAGTTTTGTCATTTAATTTACCGAGCAGAGATCCGACCCATCATTAACATATTGTTTCAATGCTAAATTTGCAAATTTCCTACAGACGTCATAATGATAATGGAATTCTGCCAAAAGATGTAAATTTGAACTGACTTTGTTACGGCGGGAAAAGGTAGCAATCT